GCAAGTATTGTCAAAGTTTCAAACATATGCAATGCTTTGTGGGAACAACCTATGCAAAGGATCTCAGGGACATGGGATCAAACACCAGTTGTGGTTGTAGGTGTATAGAAAATGATTCACCTAGCACATGTGCGAGGGAAAGATGGCCTCAATAACTCAAAGATGAGAGTATTGAAGAAGGTAGGGTTACATGAGAAGTACAAATATGAAAGAATATGAACAAGGCATGCTCATAGAGATTATTGGGCTGGAGAGCTTGTGACATTGGCTAAGTTGTTTAAGTCCTTCAAAAATTAATAACCGGATATACGTGGTAAGGTAAAGATGTAATTTTGCATCAATATGGAGATTGTTAGGATGATAATGCAAAATTACCTCCCAATCAACTTATGGCATTTCTCTCATCACAAGGGCATTTTTTTTTTTTGGTTGATGATGAGGAAAAGAAGAGTCGATTGATGGTGGTAATGTGTTAGAAAATATCTATTTGAGCTTTATTTTATAGTGTACAAGGTAATCTCTATAAAACCTTGAACTTGTAAATTTCTTCCATTAATAGTGAATCATTTCTTTGGCAGTTGCCCATGGTTGTAGCCCGATTTTAGATTAACCTTGTATATTGTGTGTTTATAATGCTTTGATTATCGTTTGTAGTATGTAGTTGTGCCACTAGAGTTCATATTTTACTTTCTCTTGATTTCATCATTTATTTACCAAATTTACTACACCATATATTAGATTCTTGGGTGTTGGATTTCTTGGAATCAATTCGCAATTTGGTTTCAAGGTATTAGATTTGTAGTAATGGGAGGTTCACCATAAGTAGGGGTAATCGAGGTAGTTTCTGTTCCCAACAACATCCATGGCAATTGACAATAATGCATTCACTATTAATAGATGAATTACAAGTTTTGTGGGTATGTGGAGATTACCTTACAATGGTAGAAAGAAATTCAAATTGAATTTTTATACCACAAAGAAATCATCAATTGACTACCTTCTTTGCTACTTTGACCAACGCCGTTGCTGCAAAGAAATGTCGATAGAACCCAGTCCAATACAAAAATACACACAATGCTGAAGTTTGTGCTAAACCCCCAATCTTTATCTTCCCCAAAACCTTCTTTTCTTTTTCTCAAGATATTTCTCTCTCTAAATGGGTAATAAAGACTCAACCAAAAAGTGTTTTTTTTTACAATGGCCATAAATATCCTTGTGATGAGAGAAATATCAAGTTAAATAGGAGGTGATTTTGCATCACCGTCCCAACAATCTCCATCTTGACGCAAAATTGCATATTTAGCTTGCCATCCATATTCAGTTATTCCTTTCTTAAAGAACCTAAATAACTTAACTAATGCCAGAAGCTCTTTAACTCAATAAACATCATGATCATGCCTTGCTCATTTTTCTTCGTGCTTGTACTTTTCATAAAAACTCTTACCTTCTTCATCATTCTCACCTTGAGATCTTGAAGTTATGCTACCTCTTCACATGGTTGCACACCTATAAACACAACTGGAGATTGATCTCTTCTCACTGAGATCCCTTGTATAAGTTTCTCCCACAAAGCCTTGCATATGCTTGAAATCATGGCAAGAATGGCCATACTTCTCAATTTTGAAGTACCAATTTCATTCCATTCCCAATTTCCCTTCTAAGGATAATCACAAGCCAATCAAGAAATGGACTAACAAATGAAATAATAAAATTTACAAAATCTATAGCAATAATCAAAATCAATATTAGAGTATTATACAACACTCTAGCCATATCAGCCCTTCCTTCACAAATTACATTGCCTTGAAGAAAATTTATGAGATGCTTTTGGCTTCACATCCTCTTGTAAAAGTCCCAAATCTTCAATTTCTCTACCTTATCGAATATCCTTCCCAAGACCTTGATTTGTACCACCAACATCTTCTATTTCCAAAGCATGTAGCCCTTGCCAAGCTTCTTTATTTACAACCAAATTTATCTTTTTTTGCACAATTGTACTCCATAACAATTTATACAAGTTTAATTCTCAAATTTGCTTCATCATAACTAGAGCCCCCTTTGAAACTTTGGTAAATATATAACCTTCCATACCCAAAGAAGAAAGTGAAATCACGCTCTTCATTAAATCCGGCATATGCTTTATATTTTCATGTGTCTGAATCACAACATCATACATCCTTATGTGAACCAAACCTGTAATGATCGACTTACTCATTGATGCCAATCTGCCCTCACAAGGGTCATGTGCATCAAACCGCGATCTATGCGGGCATCTATGATGTGTAGCTTGACTATCAAGTATCCAACTTTGATAGTACATGCGATTGCATCCCACCATCAATACTTCATCTTCAATATAACTTGATGTTGATTCTTCAACTTGGTAAGCCTCATTGTTGGCTTCACTTTGGTCTTCTGTTTCTTAATCGGAACACTTTGAGGAACTTATCCTTTCCCTTTTCCAATAATTTGTCTTTATGTGGGCGGGCTTGCCACAAAATTAACAACCATTTTTGTCATAAGACCTCTCTACTTTGATCGGTTACTTGAGGAATCTCCTGATAGACCATTCCATTCATCCAACGGGGCTCGTGCCAAAAGGATATCCATCCTTGAACCCATAAAATCATACATCGATACTTTCTGTTGAAGTTCATTAGCAAGAAGTGCACTAGAAACCAAATCCAATTTGAGATATTCATTTTTATAACTCAAGGTAGTAACAAGATTATCATAAGACTCTGGTAGGGAACAAAGTAATGTCACCACCTAATCTTCCTCATCCATCTTTACTACGATACTTTGGAGTTGACAAATTATGTTGTTGAATTCATTCAAGTGTTCTATCACTTTCATGCATTCTTAAATAATACAATCTTTTGTTCAAGAAAATTCGATTTGTAAGGGATTTTGTTTGATATAAGCTTTCTAACTTTGTCTGATGATTTCACCACCATCCCTTCTGCTACTCTATTAAATTAGATTTTATTTATTAAATGCAAGCGAATTGTTGTGAACACCTTCCTATCCAAATTTCTCAAATCATCATCTTTTATACTTTCTGGTTTCTTGGATTTTTCTAAGAGTGTTTTATAAAGAGCTTGTTATACCAATATGTCGTGAACTTTTATTTTTCAAAGTTCAAATTTCTTCCCTTAAAATTTTCTACCTCAAATTTGTAAGTAGTTATTTTTCCAAATTACTACACTCTGCACTTGAGCTCCGATACCCCTTGTTAGAAATCGTGACTCGCTCGATTGCCCCTTGTTGCGGTGAACTGCCCATTGCAATAAATCCAATACCTTAAAACCAACTTGCCTTTTACCAACAACTTGATTTTCAAGAAAGCCAAATATCTAAGAACCAAATATAGTGTAGTAAATTTAGAAAATAAAAGAAATTCAAGAAAAGTAAAAATAAGAAATCAAAGTGCAACAACACACTAGACAATCCAACCACCATCAATACAAATATTCGTGGTTCTCCTAAAATCAGGCTAAATCTAAGGCCAACTAGCAAGGATAAATTTACTATTAATAGAAGAATTACAAGTTTTGTGGGTATGTAGATATTACCTTATAATAGTAGATAAAATCTCAAATTGATTTTTCCTTTCCACAAAGAAACCATCAATTGACTCTATCTTTGCTACCTTCGACCAACTCCGTCGCCGCGAAGAAATATCTTAAAATCTATCATAGTACAAGGGCACATACAAAGCTAGGGTTTGTGCAAGATTCCCAATCTCTATCTTATGCAAAACTTTTTTTCTCTCAAGAGTTTCTCTCACAAAAAATGCCCCCACGTTTCTCTCTCTAATTTGGTTATAGAGGATGGGCCAAAAAGTGCTTTTGACAATGACCATAATTGCCCTTATGATGAGACAGGTACCATAGGTTAAATGAGATTTGCATCACCATCACAACACAAAGGGGGGCAGCCCACTAGCCAGCATGTGACCTCCACCTTCTAATTTGGTTAGACGGTGGAGATTGCAGGACGTGCTACAATCTTCACTGTCCAAGTCCAACCAAATTGGATGGTGGAGATTTTATGCGGCTAGCAGGCTAGCCCGCATAAAAACCGTGTCCTTATTAAATATAGTTAATTGAGGAAAACATACAAAAGTCGAATGTTATTTTAAATGATGTGATTTCCATGCTAGCTTACCCGCAAGCTTGCTCTATCACCCACAACTGTACAACAAAAGTGGATGGTCGAAATTACAAGAATATCTTGCACTCACCACCGTGCAATTAAAAATTTATAATAGTTTTATATTTTACATTCAAGTTCCACTTTTGAAAGTACATAAATGTATTTTTAATTGTATCATTTTTCTATAGATCGGATTAAGCTCAAATTTAGTATATTCTTACTTTTTCAACATCACACATGAAAAAAAGATAAAAATAATATATCAACAAAATACCCCTATAGCACATAAGGGTAAAATTCATTTTTTATATCTTTTAGGTATGTGTTGATTAGAAATATAGACTTACCAAATTGGAGCTTAATCGAACATAATATATAAAAGATAAAAACTAAAATAGACTAAATGCTTCAAAAATTGTAATTTAAGTGTAAAATGTGAATTATATATGACTATTTTGGGATTCTAAAAGTAAAATAGGGCTTTTCTATTATAGTGAAAATTCTTTACTAGATACACACTTCCTTAAATTGGTTCTAGTTGTTTAAATTTTCTAATGTGAGCTATAGCAAACAAGTAATTTTGTCGCACCAAGCTTACTCAAGAGGATTACTTAAAGAGAGATGAAAAGCCACAAGAGTTTGGAGAAGTTTGTTCATTTCCAAAATTATCGGGTTCTTCTCTTCCTAACATTTTAGGCATAATTTAAATGAGCATTTTGGCTATATTGTCTCTCTTAAGGCAATCATCTTATTCAAATGAGATCAAGTCGCATGAAAAATTGAAGAGAGATTTTGAACTTTTATGATGGAATTAAAGTTAGTTCTTATTTGTTGTGTTTTAGGAATTCTTGGAGGAACATGGGGTGTATATTTTGTCATATGACAGAGCAGGGTATGGAGAGAGTGACCCTAACCCAAAGAGGTCAGTGAAAAGTGAAGCTTTTGATGTTGAGAACCTTGCTGATGCTCTTCAACTGGGGCCCAAGTTTTATGTGATGGGTTTCTCCATGGGTGGCCACACTGTTTGGAGCTGCCTTAAATACATACCACACAGGTAATCAGTGCTAAGCTTTTGCTACAAGTTGCTTTTATTCTGAAGTATAGTGCACTCTCAAATAATATATTTCTCATTGGACATGATTTTTCATTATTTATTATAGGTTGTAACTAATAGAAACAAAATTCAATGAAAATAGGAAAGTGAGTGTTTGTATTAAATAACTAAAGAGTCTCTCTTATTCATAAATAAATGTTTTGGTTCTATCAAGTCACAATAATAATTAATTTTTCTTGTGATCTCGTTTCATCTACATTGAGCAAAGTACAATTAAAATTGACTCAAAAAAGTATCACAAGTTATTTTTCTTTGATTTTGACGCTTTAGTATGTTGCCAGGGTGAGGTTTGAGTCGACTTAGACGAATTTTGAAAAAATGAAAATAACCAAATGAAATCACAAAAATATTTTCCATTCATTTACTTGTCATATCTAAGATGGGGCACTCATTGTTTTTATAAACATATTGTCATATGTTGGATGGAGAAAAAGTAGGTATTCTTAAGTCTTTTCAAAGTGTTTCAAGGACCTAGAACGTGCAGGAATCTAGAATAGGTTTTATTTCATTATTTTTTTTCATTTTTTTATTTTTATTATTTCAACCATGACACATTCTCTCTTTCATAGTCATTGTACGTGTGTAAATTCACAGGCTAGCTGGTGCAGCATTGATTGCTCCTGTGGTTAATTATTGGTGGCCCAGTTTTCCTCCAAGCTTATCCCAAGAAGCATTCAAATGGCAGCTAGTTCAAGATCAATGGGCAGTTAGGGTCTTTCATTATGCGCCACGGTTGACCTATTGGTGGATCACCCAAAAATGGTTTCCAGGCTCCAGCGTTTCTGCAAGTGACAATAAGATTTTCAATCCATGGGATACAAAGTTGATTCCTAACATCACAGAATTCAGAAAGCATTTTGAGGTACTACAACTTTTCATTCTCAATTTCTAAACGCCATTGTATGGAAATTATAGCATCAACATGATATACCTGTTTTTTAGTACACTATTAGGCCACTCATGCGAAAGGGGCTGGGATCGTGGTGGTAGCAACCCTGCACTCTAGTAATCATATTGTGGTTTTCATTCCTACTGACACCACTTTACTAACATATTCAAAAAATTAACTCTTAAACTATTTGAAAAAAATGGGTAAGGGCCAATCTTCCTTACTGAATTACCCAAAAAAAAAAGAGAGAAAAAAAGGCCACTCATCGCCCGTTTTTTTTTTGAAAATCAGTTACTTTTTATTCATTCAATGAACTAAAGATTACAAGAGAATTTAGCCTCAAGGTCACAATTACAACATCTCGAAACCAAACTACAAAAAAGAAACTTACAAACTACAACATACTATACATCAGAACCATTTAATAATGAGACTATTGTCATATGCACCAAAGCCCATCCACCTCTATATTACTTTCGTGGTAAACATGGGTAAAGTTACATTCCATTTCCATACAGCAGTCATTCACTTCATAAATTAAAATGTGAAATTTCCATGGATATGTAGCTCCTTTATTTATCCATTTTACAATATTCATAGAATCTCCTTCCACTTCCACTAGTTTTTGAAAACCCTTCACCAATTTAATCCCTTGAAGCACTACTCGAAGTTCAGCCTCGTTCGCAGTCACTTCCCCTACTGGCCCATGATACTTTAGTAGAACTTTGCCTTCACAATCTCTCACAATTCCTACCACACCTTCTTGCCTAGGGTTTCCCATAGAACACCCATCAAAATTAAGTTTTACCCAGCCAATACTTGGGCATTTCCACAAACCTATCCTAATCTTTTTCATAGTTTTCTCTCTTATTAACGCATTCAAATTGTACATCATGTCCACTTTAGATACACCCCATCAATCTTAGTTGATGACTAAAAATTCAGCAATGTTTTCTACAAATTCAGCAAGAGATAAGACTTTACTATCAAAGCATCTCCTATTTGTTTCTTTCCATGGCTCCCAAACCAGCGTAGCCTTTACTGTTTTCCAAATGTCAACCTTTTTACCAATACCTCCTGTCATCCAATCTCCAAACAAACCATCAATCTCCATAGGTGTATTATTATTATACCCCAAGCACACTAACACCCAAGCCCACACAAACTTTGCAAAGGAGCAGTTAGGAACATAGTTATCATAATCTCTCCACCGACCTCATGTTTCCTGTTCTGAAACCCGATCCTGTATTTCCATTAAGGAATTTTCACGGAAACCATTTTTCGGAACCAAGGAAACTCGTTTCCCTAATTTTGGAATCTCGATTCGACACATCTTTAGAAACCCTTTTTCGGAACCAAGGAAACTCGATTCCTTAATTTCGAAATCTCAATTCAACACATATTTAGAAACCATTTATCGGAACCAAGGAACCTCGATTCCTTAATTTCGGAATCTCAATCCAGCACATTTTTTAAAACATGAACCCATTAATTGTGGGTAGACGTTCTCAAATATATCGAATTTGGATTCTAACGAGGATTAAATCTTGATTCCATGTCAATTGAAGTAGAAATTTTCCTTCGAATGCTTCTAGTGGTTGCAGGGTTTCATTATTTTACTTATGCCACCCTAGACGGCCTTTACTTTAAATTTAAACTATAATTGGTAAATACAACACATATTAAAAGTAAAACCTTAGCATAGACATAATCTTATTTTGTCTTTATAATAATGAAGTCAAAATCACAATTTAGGAATACTTGTCTTTTGTATGTAATGACCATAAGTTCAATAGTCAACACAATCACTTTAAAATTCGAGAAATCTTTTAATAAGAGACATCCAATATAGGCACCAAAGTTGATGAGGCTTAAGACGTGCTTGTGGCTTCCTTTTCCATAAAAATGAAATCTTGATTCCTAGTAGGGGTCGTCAAATGCATTCTATAGTCCATATTATTGTAAATCTCAATCTCAATCTCAAACTAGCATAGATCTTTGATTTGTATACTTTAAAAACTTGATTCCAAATATGTTAGAATCACGATTCGAAACAACAACATATCTATGTTCCACATATATTAGAAACTCGATTTCATAGATGTCAGAAACTCGTTTCCGCATATTAAAGAATCCTGATTCCTAGATTGTCGATTCCAAGGGGATGGAAATCCCGATTCCAAGGAGGACGGAATCTAGATTCCATAGGTGGATGAAACTTGGATCTATTTCAGTCAAAACAAGATTCTCAAAAACTAGGAATCTCGTCTTAGCGATTCCGATTGTACGGACAACAATTCCTAAGACAAGAATCTTCTAGCCAATCGCGATTTTGATTCCTAAAACTATTCGGGTTCCAAGGGGTTTCTAACAACCATGGTAAGGAAATATGTGATCAATTGACTCTGCATCCTTCTTACAAAACATACAAACATTCACTATTATCCGCCCTCTTTTCCTTAACATATCAATTGTTAAGATCCTACGCAGCTGCAATAACCACAAAAAATCTCTAATCTTCAACGTTACATGCCATTTCCATAGTTTTCTTCCATCTTTATTTGATCATCTAACATGATCATCGAACAGTAATTCCACTGAACTTACTATAAAGGATCCATTCCTACTTGGTTCCCATAGAATTGCATCCTTTACATCAGGGCAATAATAAAATTGTTGTAACAACAATAAGCACTGCACATGTTCATTAACAACAAATTCATTAACCCTTCTATATGAACAACTAACATTCCAACTTGAAGAAACACCTTTACCCTCCACCATCTCACTTACCATCTTACTTTTGGAATTGACCTTGGCAGATAAATTAGGAAAATGGGTTTTTAATGCACAATCCCCAATCCATTTTTGTTGTCAAAACCCTACAACATCACCCTTCCCCACTACCATTCTTGAATTGCTTAGGAAAAAACTCTGAGCAATAATTCCTTTTCATATATATGATATGCCCTTTTTATTTGCCCTTCTTGCCACCATCCCAAGTTCCACATCTTCACCATACTTTTCCCCAAGAATACGCCTCCAAAGCCAATCCTTTTACTATGCACACCTCCACCACTATTTAGTTAATAACGCACTATTAATGATTTTCAAACATTTAATCCCCATCCCCCCAATTACAAATTGAAGAACAAACCTTTTCCCATTTAACCAAATTATATTTATTCTTCTCATTAGTTCCCCCCATCTAAATTTTCTCATAATACACACCAATCTTTTTGCAATCTTACATGACATCTTGAAAAGCGACATGTAATAGATGGGTAGATTGGATAATGCAGTTTTAATCATACTAATACGACCCCCCAAGGATAATAACTTGAATTTTCATGGGTCTAATTTTTATTGCATACATTGTATCAGAGGATCCCATAAAGACAGAGGTCTAGCATTATCAAATAAAGGCAAGCCAATATATTTTAATAGAAAACAATCAATCCCGCAGTTAAGCATATCAACAAACTCCTTCACCTTTTCTTCATCACAAGCTACTCCTATCAATGGGGTTTTTGTTAAGTTCACTTTTTGCCCAATAACAACCTCAAAAGCTCTAAAGAATATCTTGAATGTTTCTATTTCCATCTCATTTGCTCCACATAATATCAATGTGTAGTTTGCATATTGCAAATGTGACACCATAGTCCCATTAGTTTTTACTTGGAAACCATTTAGCACCCTTGTACAACCAAAGTAAGTATCACACTAAAAATCTCTACCATTATTGTGAATAAAATAGGGGACAAAGGATCACCTTGGTGAATCCCCTTAGATGCTTTAAAAAAACCTTTGGACGTACCATTGATGAGGATTGAAAAATGTGTTGTTTCCAAACAACCTTGAATCCACATTATCCATCTTTCACTAAAACCCATAACTCTCATGGTATTCAACAATATCTTCCATGCAACTTTATCATAAAATTTCTCAAGATCAATTTTGCAAACAATTTTTACTTCTTTTCTTGTTATACGGGTGCTAATAACCTCATGTGCACGCAATATACTATCTGGTATTTGCCTATTTTGGATAAAGGCTGATTGAGGTCGTTTAATGACCAAAGGAAATACAGTTTTTAGCCTTCTAACAATGCATTTTGCAAGAATCTTATAAAGGCTACTCAACAAACAAATAGGTCTAATATCATGTAGATTTTCAATCACACCCTTTTTGGGAATCAAAACAATGAATGTAGAATTCAAACTAACATTTACAATACCCAACCCTATGATAGAATTCTAACATCATTTTTATTATTTCAATCTTGACCAAGTCCCAATATTACTGAAAAACCCCCAAGGGAAATCCATCAGAACCTGGTGCCGGATCCCCAACCAAGCTAAAGACAACTTCTTTGATTTCAATTTCAGAGAAAGGTCTTTCACTTCAAGAAATTTTTCAAGAAGGGAGTTTGTGAGATGGTACTTTTCTAAAGTTTGTATTAGGTGTAAAACTTGCAGTGAAAGCCCCCTAAAAGTGTTAAATGATTGCACCTTCCATCCCCTCCCAATGTGCACCTTCCATCCATCCATAAGTATTTGCATGAAAAAAATGTGTATTCAAGTCTCCTTCTTTAAGCCTTCTAACTCTAGATCTTTGTCTCCAATAGATTTCCTCTGCCCTTAGCCATTTATGTAGTCGTTTGTTCAAATCATTCGTAAATGACTATATGCTCCGATTCAATAATTCATGTCTCCCACTCTTTTTATGTCTAAATCCTGTAATTTAGACATGATCTCCTCTGTTTTCATATATAGTTAACCACAATCTTTTTCCTTCATTCCACGAGTTCCTGTTTTACCCTTGAATCATTTTTTATGCCACCTAAGAAGACCAACCTTGAATTTCATTCATTCTCCAAGAAACAGTGATCTGATCATTCATGGCTTTGTCCTTAGTCCATGCCATTTCAAATTTGAAATAGCCACAACCTTCCCTTTTAGGTTGGTTTTCCC